TGTGCCCGTTGAAAGGCGGGCATCAACTGAAACACTCTGAAATACGTCGGAATCGAAAATTCTTTAAAATGCAACGCTTTTGTGTAAAGCTTATCATGAAGATTACATGGTAGATTAAATAAATGAATTTTAAGTCGAAAAATGTACGTAAAGTTATGTTTCATGGCGACAGATTTCATGGTGATATGAATGCAGGTTAGTGTCGAATAAACGGTTATTTTTTCTAATTCAGCTTGAAGTGAAGCAAATATGTCTGAAAGCGCGTCAGAATATGTCCATTATCGAATATGGTAAGCGTAGGCTGTAATTACATCCTACTATTCAAATGAATCGGAAAATGGCCGTGAAAATTTTCTCCGTTGAAAAAATATAATTTATATTTTCCCTGATTTGATTTTTTCCCTGAGTACAATCTTTTTTAAATAAGAGCTTTGCATTTAAGGGCTTGTAATATCTAGCCAGGTTAATTTGTACCTATATTTTTTGCTGCTTGTCATCTAGTTCTATCAACGGCGAAGTAATAAAAGTTGAATTATTAATAAAACTTGTTCTGCTACTCCACTTTATGTACAGGAACACGTCAATGTAATATTGAACTATACAAGGACACACCGGAGGAATTTCGAACTCTGCGATGTTCGCGAAGTTTGAACGGACGAGAATCTGGTCTAACAGCAGAGAACCTGTACGAGAAGACATAGGTGACATTTTGCTAAAACCACTGTGATCGAATCATCCGAATAAGATATATAATTTTTATCGCGTCACGTAGATGGCATAGAAAAATATACACTCATTTTAGCGGATGAAGATAGACGTATTTTTCTAGAGTGCGATTGCCTATGCTGGTGCCGGTATGAATTTGTTACCTGCAGCTGAAATTAAGGAAAGTTTAGTTCAAAAAATTTGTAATTTTATTGTGCTGAGGAAAAGCCCCTCATAATTTTTTTCATCGTGGTAAATACGTAAATTTACGGTTTTAATTCAGAGAAACACTTGAGTATACGTCGACATGAGTTTACTAGTCGAAAATGAGAACAACTATCAACACTATAAGACAACTATCCTACTTTCATTAAATGCTTTTTTTAATTGCGGATTTTTAGTTTTTTTTGTGATTCCTGCAGATAATTTTTAGAGCAGCAGTTTTTCTATCTGAATAAATTAGGTATCAGTCACCCGTTCAGTATTCACTCACCCGTATAGCACCACTCACCCGTGTCCCGTGAAGCACCACTCACCCGTGAAGCACCACTCACCCGTACAGCACCACTCACCCGTGAAGCGTCACTCGCCCGTGAAGCACCACTCACCCATGCATGTGATACTAGACGAAAAGTTCGGTGCTTGGCATCGCAGGGCTTTTATTCTCGTTCTCGTATACCACATGTAGCTCTTCCCGGGCCTCTTTGCCCACCAACCTCAGGTTATATTTATACTCTAAGATAAAAAGACAGCTGTTTAGGGTATATATAAACGGCTTCCATGCTGGGTAAATAAATCGATCTGATCAGTTAACGTAAAAATGATTCTGTATTCTTAAGATATAAACAGACGGATAAACAGAAATGAAAATTATCAAGAAGATTTTATCGATTTTAAGATGAAAACTGTCGCATATAATTCATTCTTGCCCTACACCTGACTCTCTTGAGAATGTAACTTGCACAAACTATGCGCTGTGCGCGGGGCAGGTGTAGTTATGTCATATCTCGTCCTGGTAGCTCGTGGTATCTTGTCTTCAGGCCCCGACCATCAGGAGATTTTTAATTTAATTTATTTAATTAATTGAGATTAATTTTTGACACGTGTATTTTATGTCTCAAGGACATGTCCCGTCAGGGGAAATGTAGTTTTTTAAACGTTTAAGTTAGCTGTCTGGGATACTGTCCGTCAAGAGAAAGTATTTATTTGGCACGTTGTTGAGGGAGAGCTTTCAACATATACAGCTATCGCCAACGGGATAGTGAGGGGGCTAGACTAAGTCAAAGTGGTGACAGCCAGGCCATGGAGTTTTATTTGAAAACCCTAAGAACCTGATCATAAAAATTTAACATTATGCCAATACAATGCTGACTATAAATGAAGTTAAACCGAATTAAAAACTGTAGCACGAGACGTATGCAAAATTTGGGATTTCTTATAAGCTGCAAGTTTTGAAACCACTTCCTGCTGACAAAAAGTCAGAACTCGGTTACGAACTAGGACGGCTGTCTTCAAATAAAGTGCCCACTTTCAGTTAGCACAGATCCAAGTAGATTGTAGACCGTAGAGGCTCATCAGTTCCTAGTCGACGATCTAGGACATTCGGGTGTTTTCAAATCCTACAAAAAATGAGATGATTATCTTCTCTCTAACCCGAAGTCCCTCCGTCACCGATGAGTATAGGGCATCTTCTTGGCACACTAGTTTCTTTTCCCCACTGAAGTCCTTCGATTCAGTGACAGCTCGCCGACGATTAGATTCCATGCGAACAATAAAGAGATACATGGAATCAGATGCCCACGTCCACCTGCAATAATCTAACACAAAGAATGGGTTTAACGCCCAACAAGTACCAAGAACCGCCACAGAAGAAACACTATCAGAAGGACGCATGACGGTATTTATGAAATTTATTCCAACAAGAGGAAAGACACACGAACTGACAAAATTGAAACCCTAACCATATAGGGGGGTAAACAGGAGGCAACCATAGAAACTAAGTCATACGAGTTTATAACTTCTTGCAAAGAGATGGAAAGCAGCTTGTGATAATCTGGGCCTTAGGTACAAATAACTAATTAAAAATTACGACACGCGATTCAATGGCCACTTCAAACAATGATCAGTAAAAGAATGCCCAAAGCGAAGGCAGCCCGCCTTGCTCGTTACCAGCGGAACCCTGGGCAAACAAATGAAGCCCGAGCTGTGCAGCTACAACGTGTCGTGGCTCGTCAAAATACAGTGTTCCGCGTTCTCTTGGCATCCAGACGTTACTGGACGCCCTGTCCTTGGTCGTGCGTGTCTGAATGTCCGTCTCAGTTGTTAGATTAAGTTCTTTTGAAGGCAGGTATCCTTGAACTCGCTTTTTTGTCTGCTTCGATTATATACGAGTGTCCTTGTTTCTATTGGTAATTTTGTTCTTCATAGTCACTGTGAGACGACAAAAATTCCTTACTAAAAATTATTTTTTAGAAATTACCGTAAGCTCGCATGTTAGAATATTCTAGAACCTGTTTTGTTTTTTCATTTGTTTCTTGATGTACCATCGGGTTCTGAATCGCATCGGATTCGATTGTTAGATATGCAGTTTTTGACAATGGTTCTCTATAGCACAACCATTCGTAGTCCAATCTTGATGAAAATAATAAAAAAATTTAAAATGTGTTACGATTTAGGCAAGGGGAAGCGTAGCTTCATCATTCACTATTGGATTTGTTTTCTTTTATTTTTTTCTATTTATTTAGTTGAGACAAAGAAATATTTTTATTTTTGACATTGATATTAACATGAACTAAAACGAAACCTGTTAATTAATACGCAATATTGATATCCAGATTTGTACGCACGAGAAAGACTATGAAGACGTAAGCGTGAAAGCGTAAAAGCGTATCTAAGGAATTTCCACTGAAATTTAACTGCGATTTGAAGCAAGCTTTAGTAATGTGGATATATTCTCGTAAATTTGGTACGTGAACATATTAGATTATTCATACTCGTGCGACTGGTATTATTTCAGCAGCCGTTACGTTAACTTGGGAAGGTTTGTGGATAAACTTACTGACGTCTTGTGCTATTCCAAGGGTACGGTATTTTAAGATTATCACATGGCTGTTTCACGAGTTGATTTCTGGATATCGGCTGTGAAAAGAATGTAAAATTGTGTGACGATGGCCGCGAATAATGCAGAAAAATATTCAGAATTTACTATTAATATAGTGATAATACTCTGATTTGTAGCGACTCTCATTATTTGTTGCTCCTGGAAATTGATTTTTTTCTCGCTGAGATAAAATAAGTAATTTATCGAACGATTTCTAATACCAATATTTGTGAAATCCTTTGATTTCCTATACGCCTACTGATTATTAATATGTACCTTCTCGCTATTGAAAATTAAATAAGTTTAAGACAGCGATAAAGTTGGTAACGTGCAAATTATCTTACTTACATACTGCAGGAGAAGGTGTGGGCAATTTCAACCTAACAACTTTTGATAATTTTTGATGTGTTTAAATACAATACATATTCCAGATGATTGCCCGGTACACTGCTGGCACCGTATCTTATTGATGATTTTTATATCTTATGAAGCAAAGCTGAAACGTTCTTGCATGGTACATCTTGATTGTATGGTTGTAAAAATTCTAAATTATTACTGTCAACTCACATAAGTTTCATGAGGTGCGTATTTAAATCTTTTTAATTACAAAAATTGCAAATAAAGTTTGGATTATTTCGCAGTTGTTGGTCTTTCGAAAGCAAATCTTGCGCGTCTTGGAAGAAGTGCCAAATATTCTTTTCGTTGTGATGAATATATGGTCTTGATCATATGCAAATTACACAGCTTAATTTTTCTTGTATTTGCTGTATAAAATATTCATCTTTTATCTAATAGGTATCAATTTTAAAAAGTTTTTAGAGAAAGTGTTTGAAAAAAATGGTAATTAACTTATCAATGCTACTTGAATTATGCAGAGAAATTTATTTCATGACATTACATAACAGTTTGTTATGTAATGTCATTATATATTATTTTCATGACATTACATAACAGTTTGTTCTAGAGAAAACAACAATATGACATGGCTGCTAATTACATAAGGATTAAGTAACTGATAAGAGTGTGAATGATAAATAAATTATTATATGTATACCAGATGTTAATTAGGTAATCCAAACTTTTACATAAAACATTTGATGTAATATAGGTGAAATGTGTAAAAGATATGTTTTGTATAGTTAACGGGAAAATCCTCATGGGGAAAACCAAATGCATGTGATAAATCAAATGCATGTGATAAATCTCACTTTACTTGACACGGGCCTGTATTTTACTTCAATGATTTAAATTATTATAATTATTTAAATTCAGTTTCAGTCTTTAAATCTTGGGAGGAACTGGCGCGTAGACACAGCCTGCACCTTGCAGCGTAGGCTGCAGAACCGCAGTGTCTATGCCGTTAGACTCGAACGCGTCCAGCGCCGCAGTCTGAAGGAAAATTTATGTCAACGAACAAAACTTCAACAGTTATTGGCTGTTAGTCAGCAGCATAATGTTCATGATTAACTGTTCAGTTCATGCATGAACTGAAATTCAAGTATGAACAGTTACATTCATGCTTATGAACATTCAGTTAACATGTATGAACAGTTACATTCAAGCATGAACAGTTCAAGCATGAACTGATATTCAAGTTACATTCATGCTTGAATGTAACTGTTCAAGTATAAACAGTTACATATAAGCATGAACTGAAATATTGCTTGGAAGCGTCTGTATGGAGAGTAAAATGTATCGTTAATACCGAGAGAACATTAAAAAAAATTGTGAATTTCATGTGGATTCAATCCTGATAAAATATTTATGAATACAAATTTGAGTACGAGTACGAATAGAGAACTATAGGACGTTTTATTATTGAATAATTCAAATGTATTTAATTTTGTTTTGTGGTGCATTTTAAATTTGTTCTCACAAGTGAGTCAGCGGGCATCTCCTCAGTGCGAGACAGCACCCACGCGTACTGGTCACGGAACTCGCCAATCTGCAGCAGACGTTGTCATTTAATTCATGCACATCAAAATTTTAGAAACTAATTTTAGAAACTAATTTTAGAAACTAATTTTAGAAACTAATTTTGGAAACTAATTTTAGAAACTAATTTTAGAAACTAATTTTGGAAACTAATTTTAGAAAATAATTTTGGAAACTAATTTTAGAAATTAATTTTAGAAACTATTTTGAGAAACTAATTTTAGAAACTAATTTTAGAAACCAATTCAGTAATAATAAAATTAGGGAAAAATTGAATATCTGAATTTGCTTTGTGATGTGATCTTGTAATATGCGTTCGTTGATGCCAGAGTCCAATTTCTTTATTATGTCTTGCTGCTTAGTGTTTCGAATAGACATGTCAAAGACTGACATTTACCATATCATATCATAGAGATGTCGGCGCTGAGGAATAGGCTTGCTGTGGCCTGTAGCCGATTCTTGTCCGTTTCATGACTTATTCACAGGCGATCTAAAAACAGGTCCTCTGATCTGAATTTTTTTTAAAACTGAGTTTAGTTTGAAATAGTTACTAAACTTCCACCAGGTTCGACATTGTGCTAGGCATTTAAAGTCTGAACATATATTTCTCCGTAGCTTTATCTAGTCTATTTTTGAACGCGTTCATACTCTGAGCGTCAACGATGTCATCAGAGAGGTTATTCCACATGTCGGTGACACGAAGCAAAAAGAAATGTTGTCGCGTGGATAAGTTGCAACGCAGTTTTTTAAGTTTGTAACCGTGGCCCCTGGTGTTGGATCTTGTATCAAGCTTTAGTAATCCATTTGATCGCTGAAGACTCAGAGTGCCCTAATTCAATATCTACAGACACCACACTGAATTATTTCACAGCTACTGACAGCACACTGACCTGCGCGCAGGAGTATACGCAGCTGCTGACGCCACACTGACCAGTGCGCAGGAGTATACGCAGCTGCTGACGCCACACTGACCTGTGCTCAGTAGTATAAGCAGCTGCTGACGCCACACTGACCTGCGCGCAGGTGTATACGCAGCTGCTGACGCCACACTGACCTGCGCGCAGGTGTATACGCAGCTGCTGACGCCACAGTGACCTGTGCGCAGGAGTATACGCAGCTGCTGACGCCACACTGACCTGCGCGCAGCTGTTGACGCTATACTTGCCTGTGAACAGCTGTAGACGCTGCTGTAGGTCTCGTAGTCGGTGGCCAGGACGTTGTAGAAGCCCACGGGTTCACCGGGGAACTGCACGATGAGCTGGCCTGGGACGCCCGTCGCAGTGCCCGTGCCCACGATCGTGTCCAGCGTCCCGTCGGGGAGGTTGGCGTTGTTCGTGACCGAGATCGTGGTGTCATCTTGGAATTTTATTTTTCAAATTGTAATTTCTTTAGATGCTGATTTCGGGACCGAAATTGATGAATCATAAGCATATTCAATAATTTATCAACAGATAATTCAGAATGAACCATCATTGGGAGCATGTATAAACTGCTGACTCATGCACAAACTGAGTCGTGCACTTGAAAGTTTTTGTTTGAACAAATGACGCTCAATTAATCGCCATGAAATAACAGAGATATTTTTTATTATTTACTATATTATTGTTTTTGTAGTATTAAAACTGTTACATCATTTATATTAATGATAGGAGCATATTAATATTAATCGCGTATTAATTGCATGACCTTAATCGTTGAGTGCTTTTTATTTCTCAACCTTCTATTCAATGATTAAATGACTGCTGTAAATTCAGTTTTTCATTAGCTGCAGAAAAAATTTGTATATTCTTTAAAATTATGTGTTGATGAACTATTTAGAGTAAGAAGGAAAATGCGATCGAGTGATCTCATATCACCATTTATAACCAACGTTTTTATGAGAGACTTAGAAGAAATTTTTTGTAGGTCTCAGTAATTACACGGAATTTTGAGAACCTAATATCAATTCAAATGTTCCTTTGCTGACGTAGTAACGCTGTAATAATTTAAATTAGTAAATCAGTGTCATTTCGTAATTGAATGCTAAAACTGTTATTGAATGTAGGTGTTTGGCTGTAATCTTGCAAATTTCAGCCTAAATTTAATAATATATAATTTTAACTTACCGATGGCACCGTAGTCTGCAGTGACGCAGGTGTTGCCTTCTTCAAAACCAGCTGGGTATCTGTGAGCTTCGTACCAACGACCCAGGTACTGAAATTTGATGTTAATGTAACATTAGTAAACTCGGATCATCTTATAGGAGCAAAACTGTGAAATGCGTAAGATTTTTTTTTAAATAGCTCAAATTTCCATTCTGTAAATGCTCGCGGAATTTCATCGTGAAGAATTTGTGATATTGTAAGCCACTGACAGGTATATTATGGCGGTATGACGGGTTTATGAATAGAATCTAGAATTCGCAAAAACGAAGTTTAGTTGACCCCATAAAAATACTTACCGGGGGAATTTCGAACGCAGCGATGTTCTGGAAGTCTGGACACAATCCCTGGTCGAGGTAAGCGTTCGTCAGACCGGCCACGGCCAGCAGGAGTACAGCGGTGAACCTGCGCGGTGCGTGAGAAGAAAACAGACGCATTTATAGAATATAATAGAATAGAACAGAAGTGTCGGCGTTGAAGACATAGGTCCATGGCCTGTTGCCGATTCTTGTACTTTTCATGACTTGATTCACAAGGGATCCGGCCTTTGGAACCCGATCTTTCCATAACTGGCGATTGATTGAGATAGCTGCTGGACTTATTGCCTGCTCCGTAATTTGCTTAATGTCAAGTAATTAATGTCGAGAGTAAAATTAATACGGACGCAAAAAGGTTAATAATGATACATCTTAACAAGCAATGAAATTTTATCACTTCATCATGTGAAATTGTGAAATACATTTTTCTAATCGCATCTAACACGAAATTAAATTAAAATTTGGCTTTCAGACATCTATTGATAATAAATGAGAAACGTTAAGATTTTTTGGATTGGTTTTATACGCAGCATCGTTGGTTTTCTCTCGATTCCTAACAAGTATGAATTAATTGATTGTCAAAGACCACGTACTTTACAAAGAGGAATACCATTTAACGATTGCTATGTTATTGAAGAAACCGACATTTCACTCAAATGTAGCCAGTTTTTCTTCATGAATCTGCCCTGTTTCTTTCACTAAGCTGTGCTGCAAATCAAGTCATAAATGCAAATCAAGTCATATATATTTAGGAATCGAGATAAAACCAACGATACTGTGCATGAAAGCACACCAAAAAATTTCTTAATATTACTCATTTAATCAAATTTGCTGCAGTCCTAAATGCTTATGATGTATTTACGCAAATTAAAAATTCATTTCAATTATGAAAAAAAGTTTTTCAAGTTGGTATTTTACAGCTGCTTCGAAAACGCGTCTTCGATGCAGCTGTAAACACCAACTAGAAAATAAATATTTTTTCATAATTAAAATGATTTTTTTACAATTTCAATACTAACCCGTTCATAATTGCGATGCTACCGAACAATACCAGATGAGGCCTGTGATTCCGTCTTGATGCCGCAGACCTCTTATTTATATTGTCAACCATCACATGATGGCTTTCTCAGGCCATATTGTGGTCGGCCTTGCAACTTATCTCAAGTTACGTAACACTAAAACGATTTGAACTTAAATTGAGTACGAAATTTTATTATTTTCTTGTGTTCAGAGTATGGAAACTAATTATGACGAGGTATTGAAAATTTTTCGTGTCAAAATAATTTGCATGTTTTTTAACTGGAAAATGATTTCACATAGTACTTACAATTGTGCTCACAGGAATTTTTCTCAGTTTACTTGTACGTAACACATGCCAAAAGATTGACAGCGGCGTAGTATCTATGCATCATAACACCTTACAAGTCTAGTATCTTTTCAAAATATATACGCTGCACTCCTGGAAGTTACTAGTCTAATTCTTCCATGCATTGTAATCTTGATTTTGATGTCGAAATTACATGGGGTATAGCGTCTCATCACAGGTTAATGGTTCACGCTCGTCCCATGACAGGTTAATGGTTCACGCTCGTCCCATGACAGGTCAATAGTTCACGCGCGTCCCATGACAGGTCAATAGTTCACGCTCGTCCCATGACAGGTCAATAGTTCACGCACGTCCCATGACAGGTCAATAGTTCACGCTCGTCCCATGACAGGTTAATAGTTCACGCTCGTCGCATGACATGTTGACAGTTCACGCTCGTCCCATGACAGGTCAATAGTTCGCGCTCGTCCCATTACAGGTTGACAGTTCACGCTTGTCCCATGACAGGTCAATAGCTCACGCTCGTCCATGACAGGTTGACAGTTCACTCTCGTCCCATGACAGGTCAATAGTTCACGCTCGTCCATGACAGGTCAATAGTTCACGCTCGTCCATGACAGGTCAATAGTTCACGCTCGTCCCATGACAGGTCAATAGTTCACGCACGTCCCATGACAGGTCAATAGTTCACGCTCGTCCATGACAGGTTGACAGTTCACTCTCGTCCCATGACAGGTCAGTAGTTCACGCTCGTCCATGTCAGGTCAATAGTTCACGCTCGTCCCATGACAGGTCAGTAGTTCACGCTTGTCCCATGACAGGTCAATAGTTCACGCTCGTCCCATCACAGGTTGATAGTTCACGCTCGTCCCATTACAGGTTAATAGTTCACGCGCGTCCCATGACAGGTCAATAGTTCACGCTCGTCTATGACAGGTCAATAGTTCACGCTCGCCTTACGACAGGTCAGTAGTTCAGGCTCGTCCATGACAAGTCAATAGTTCACGCTCGTCCCATGATAGGTCAATAGATCACGCACATACCCATCACAGGTTACATTGTTCACAAACGTCTCAATAAAATGCGCATAGTTCCTTGGCCTGTGAGTCATTACGGTGATGCACAAAGTTGTGGATTTCTAAAACATATTTTGGTTTGTGTTAATTGTTTTCAACATTTTCGATTTTCCGGGAACGAACTTGATTTTAGAGTATTGAACCTTCATTTTTTTTGGTAAAGTGGACGTATAATGTGATACTATTTGCTCTATTACTGCATAACTTTCTACACTTGTACCTTCGTCGGCCCTTAATAATCTATTCAATAGTTCAATAGTTCACGGTCGAATAGTTCACGGTAGAACTGATCATACTGAACCATTCGAGAGAGAAAGAGCTCGAGACTGAGGAGATGTTTCGGGGGGTGTTGCCAACACTAAAAGTTGTTCCCGCCCATAAGTCACTTTTACTGGGTGCCCCACTCCACGAGGAGGGCGTCNACATGTGTATAAGAGACAGGTGTAGGCCACCATCAGAGGCGTTAAGGTCGGGGCCCTGATCATTGACATGAAACCATTCCCTGTTTTTAATTAATAAAATCAATTCCTTTTTTTTTTGATGGAATGGTGAGTGTCCTGGCTGGATGGAATGGTGAGTGACTGCACGTACGAATGCAGTAGTGGCAGGGACCTTCCAGGCAAATAACGCAGAAACAACGTTTATTATGAGACGATTTCATGGAAACGACGCTTAATAGACGTTATTTCAACGTGAGTTGCCTGCTAGGGAACTATTGTTTGGTGTGTGGGCTGAAGCGCTGGGTGGGATAGGACGCACATACTGAAGATATTTAAACTTTTTGGCCGATCAAATGTCCACGTATTTTTTCCTGTCTTCAGTCTGGAGTCTCTACATATATAATTCTGATTGTTTCTAGTATTCAAATTTACTACAGTCCTAAATGCTTATGATGTATTTACGCAACTAAATCTAACGCTTGTACATATCATTATAAAATTATTTATTAGCCGTCATTTACTGAAAATATCGAAAGGTTCATTGCAATGCATTGAGGGTCATCGTTGCCAAAGTTTTTTAGCATTCAATGGGACTTTAAAACTTTAACGATCCGAACTTGAAAGGTTTTTGAAGAACTTGCAATGTATATACCAAACTTTACGTATTAAGTGTATTTTATGCACACTTAATTTTATTTAGAAGCATCGACTCGAAAATAAAATTGAAAGAAAATTTCATTCTTTAGCTCAATTTTTGTCCAAACAGTTGAGTGAGTCATGACTAAATACGTTCTTTACATGAATCTCATATTTCCCAAATGTGCGCTTTATCTCTAACGATTAAGCGAGCCATGAATAAACACGCTCATTGTATCAATATCGAATTTCTCTTTTTTCATCCCCCTGTTCTCAATCCCTCCATTTAAAAAATTCTATCTCACATTCCCAGATGCGTTACGGTGCGGCCGTACAGATGTCATTCCATTCGAATGCGTCGAGTGCCCCAATCAGCGGAAAAATTCGTGTCAACGAACGAAAAATCCGCTAAAAGTATTAGCTTTCGACCAGCATTTGCTCTGTGTATGTTTGCCACCCTCACCATTAGATTGACTTGTACGGCCCAATTCAATTCAAGTTAAGCTTTTTATAGCAAAATGTGGAAATAATACAATATCCAGAAACAATGAAGCATATAAACCATGATGTATAAACAGTATTGTAGTAGAAATTTCGAAACTATGGTGTAGAAATAATCATGTAGAAATAATAAGGTTGAACTATGCAATGTTTAACTCACACTTTCATGTTTACGATGACGTCGGTCGATGTCAATCGATAATTGTTGTCCTCTTGATAGGTCCACACTCGGTGCATTATCGTTGTCGTCGGCCACATGTTGCCATTCCCAGCTATTCGTTCAGCTGCGGCTTTCTATTTTTAATTAACAAGAAGATTTCCTCACATTCACTTTTACAAATCTGAATTTTAATTCTTTTTCAGCAAAGAGATGAACAATTTTGCTGCAATGAGGACATGAACCAAACTTCACAAGTGACATTGAATTTACGAAACCGGTTATTCATTTTTTAACGATTCAATGAACTGAAATGGAAAAATGCGAGAAGAACTCTTGCTCGTAAAAAAATTCATAAATTTTAACTCTAGAGTTGATTTCTGTGGAGCGGTCATCCGAACTTCAGGTCATCCCAAATAAAAATTTAAGGTGGCGCATCGATGATTATCAGTGGCTACAGGTGGAAATTATAGGTGGAGCACCGATGGCGCATCGATGCGGCATCGATGGCGTGTCCGGCCTATGTTCCACCTATCACCTGCCTATGGCCACCCTACTAGAAAAACTCTTCTTCCACCAATAACTACCCATTGGCACCGGTGGCGCATCGATGAGCCACCGTTGGCCACCTTTAAAATGAAGTCGATTAAAATTTTTCCTTTAGCTTCACATACGAAGCATTTACATTTACTGACATTGCTCCAGACAACCATATTCTGAGGAATACGTGTGAATATACACCCTGGCAGTACAAGTAACAATGTCAGACATGTAGCAGGAACAAATTATCAGAGTACCATACACATACCTCGTGAGAAATCGACTTGAAGAAAGTCTCGGCCTGCAGGATTCGAACCCCGGTCTCCCGCACGCGAAGCAGAGCCTCTACCGTTGCGCCATCGGAGAGGACATGACAGGCGAGTAATTTCAAAAGATTTAACTGAAGTATTGCAAATATTAATTTCATCGAATGATAGAAGTTAATGCTCCCACCGTGATGAATAGATAGTTCCATTCTCTATTGAGTATTCTCAACATGCTGCTATAATCGAGAAAACAGCCGCTGAAAGATACTTCGTTTATCCATAACGAACAATGATTCAGCTCAGAGCAAAGGCTGCAGGAAAATGCTTGATGAGTATCGAAGTTTCATATTGTTAACATCGCACCAATTTTAACAGCGGCTCGATTTGAAATATTTTCGTCATGTAGCCTATATTCTTGCGTGTTTTAACGAATTATCACTCGACGACTTAGAAAAGTTAGGCGTGAAATGCCTTCATCACTTTGTGTCACTATTTTTCTGCAGCCTAATGTTTAATATTTTTCGTAGGAAAGACGTAGACTCCACTTAATTAGAAATGTAGACGTATAATCCAAATAATTATCTCGCGGTTTAAGAAAATTTCCCCAAAGTAATTAAATTTCACTATCGAAGTCAGCAACAGAAAACCGAATTTTTACTCGTGTCCCTCTGCGTAAAGAGGATACTATTTTGACAAGCAAATTACCAGGAAAACACATATTCCAAGCTGGACGTGTTAATGATTAATGAGAAAGAAGCTCAACGCCGACGTGCTCCAACCATGCAACAGGTATGAACGTGTACACGTGTAGCTGCGTGTAGCTGCTCGCTGCGCTTTAGAGATGCCGGGCCGCTGTCAACTGCGTCAACGGGGCTATAGATAAATGCGTCAACTTGAGAATAATGTAAATAATGTGAAACACACATAATCGAACCATATAATTTATACTTATTGATACAATCAATTAGTCTCAATTTATCGCATATACAGAGTAGGGCAGAACCGATTGAGCAGTCTTGAGGCGAAATAAAAGAGTAATGGAGTTACATAAAGAAGAAAGTTTATTTTCTTCGAGATTACCATAACATACCATTTAGAATACTTATGTTTTGAAAACAATAT